TGCTTCAGTTTTGAATTGAAGCATTACTGTGCTTCAGTTTTGAATTGAAGCATTTTCTGTGCTTCAGTTTTGAATCGAAGCATTTTCTGTGCTTCAGTTTTGAATTGAAGCATTTTCTGTGCTTCAGTTTTGAATTGAAGCATTTTCTGTGCTTCAGTTTTGAATTGAAGCATTTTCTGTGATCCCAGATAATGTGGACTCATTACATATTTATTAATGAAAATAACTTCTTTTTATAATAGTCATAATTTTAACACAAAATATCTGTCGCTGTGCAATTTTGGAAATTGTTAACAAAAATATTCTTGAAACTATAAAAAATTTAATTTTCTGTGCTTCAGTTTTGAGTTGAAGCATTTTCTGGCTTCAGTTTTGAATTGAAGCATTTTCTGTGCTTCAGTTTTGAATTGAAGCATTCTCTGTGCTTCAGTTTTGAATTGAAGCATTTTCTGTGCTTCAGTTTTAATTGAAGCATTTCTTGTGCTTCAGTTTTGAATTGAGGCATTTTCTGTGATCCCAGATAATGTGGACTCATTACATATTTATTAATGAAAATAACTTCTTTTTATAATAGTCATAATTTTATCATAAAATATATGTCGCTGTGCAATTTTGGAAATTGTTAACAAAAATATTCTTGAAACTATAAAAAATTTAATTTTCTGTGCTTCAGTTTTGAGTTGAAGCATTTTCTGTGCTTCAGTTTTGAGTTGAAGCATTTTCTGGCTTCAGTTTTGAATTGAAGCATTTTCTGTGCTTCAGTTTTGAATTGAAGCATTCTCTGTACTTCAGTTTTGAATTGAAGCATTTTCTGTGCTTCAGTTTTAATTGAAGCATTTCTTGTGCTTCAGTTTTGAATTGAAGCATTTTCGTGCTTCAGTTTAGAATTGAAGCATTTTCTGTGCTTCAGTTTTGAATTGAAGCATTTTCTGGCTTCAGTTTTGAATTGAAGCATTTTCTGTGCTTCAGTTTTGAATTGAAGCATTCTCTGTGCTTCAGTTTTGAATTGAAGCATTTTCTGTGCTTCAGTTTTAATTGAAGCATTTCTTGTGCTTCAGTTTTGAATTGAAGCATTTTCGTGCTTCAGTTTAGAATTGAAGCATTCTCTGTGCTTCAGTTTTGAATTGAAGCATTTTCTGTGCTTCAGTTTTAATTGAAGCATTTTCTGTGCTTCAGTTTTGAATTGAAGCATTTTCTATGCTTCAGTTTTAATTGAAGCATTTTCTGTGCTTCAGTTTTAATTGAAGCATTTTCTGTGCTTCAGTTTTGAATTGAAGCATTTTCTGTGCTTCAGTTTTGAATTGAAGCATTCTCTGTGCTTCAGTTTTGAATTGAAGCATTTTCTGTGCTTCAGTTTTAATTGAAGCATTTTCTGTGCTTCAGTTTTGAATTGAAGCATTTTCTGTGCTTCAGTTTTGAATTGAAGCATTTTCTGTGCTTCAGTTTTGAATTGAAGCATTTTCTGTGATCCCAGATAATGTGGACTCATTACATATTTATTAATGAAAATAACTTCTTTTTATAATAGTCATAATTTTAACACAAAATATCTGTCGCTGTGCAATTTTGGAAATTGTTAACAAAAATATTCTTGAAACTATAAAAAATTTAATTTTCTGTGCTTCAGTTTTGAGTTGAAGCATTTTCTGGCTTCAGTTTTGAATTGAAGCATTTTCTGTGCTTCAGTTTTGAATTGAAGCATTCTCTGTGCTTCAGTTTTGAATTGAAGCATTTTCTGTGCTTCAGTTTTAATTGAAGCATTTCTTGTGCTTCAGTTTTGAATTGAGGCATTTTCTGTGATCCCAGATAATGTGGACTCATTACATATTTATTAATGAAAATAACTTCTTTTTATAATAGTCATAATTTTATCATAAAATATATGTCGCTGTGCAATTTTGGAAATTGTTAACAAAAATATTCTTGAAACTATAAAAAATTTAATTTTCTGTGCTTCAGTTTTGAGTTGAAGCATTTTCTGTGCTTCAGTTTTGAGTTGAAGCATTTTCTGGCTTCAGTTTTGAATTGAAGCATTTTCTGTGCTTCAGTTTTGAATTGAAGCATTCTCTGTACTTCAGTTTTGAATTGAAGCATTTTCTGTGCTTCAGTTTTAATTGAAGCATTTCTTGTGCTTCAGTTTTGAATTGAAGCATTTTCGTGCTTCAGTTTAGAATTGAAGCATTTTCTGTGCTTCAGTTTTGAATTGAAGCATTTTCTGGCTTCAGTTTTGAATTGAAGCATTTTCTGTGCTTCAGTTTTGAATTGAAGCATTCTCTGTGCTTCAGTTTTGAATTGAAGCATTTTCTGTGCTTCAGTTTTAATTGAAGCATTTCTTGTGCTTCAGTTTTGAATTGAAGCATTTTCGTGCTTCAGTTTTGAATTGAAGCATTTTCTGTGCTTCAGTTTTGAATTGAAGCATTCTCTGTGCTTCAGTTTTGAATTGAAGCATTTTCTGTGCTTCAGTTTTAATTGAAGCATTTTCTGTGCTTCAGTTTTGAATTGAAGCATTTTCTATGCTTCAGTTTTAATTGAAGCATTTTCTGTGCTTCAGTTTTAATTGAAGCATTTTCTGTGCTTCAGTTTTGAATTGAAGCATTTACTGTGCTTCAGTTTTGAATTGAAGCATTTTCTGTGCTTCAGTTTTGAATTGAAGCATTTACTGTGCTTCAGTTTTGAATTGAAGCATTTTCTGTGCTTCAGTTTTGAATTGAATCATTTTCTGTGCTTCAGTTTTGAATTGAAGCATTTTCTGTGCTTCAGTTTTGAGTTGAAGCATTTTCTGTGCTTCAGTTTTGAGTTGAAGCATTTTCTGGCTTCAGTTTTGAATTGAAGCATTTTCTGTCCTTCAGTTTTGAATTGAAGCATTTTCTGTGCTTCAGTTTTGAATTGAAGCATTTACTGTGCTTCAGTTTTGAATTGAAGCATTTTCTGTGCTTCAGTTTTGAATTGAAGCATTCTCTGTGCTTCAGTTTTGAATTGAAGCATTTTCTGTGCTTCAGTTTTAATTGAAGCATTTTCTGTGCTTCAGTTTTGAATTGAAGCATTTACTGTGCTTCAGTTTTGAATTGAAGCATTTTCTGTGCTTCAGTTTTGAATTGAAGCATTTTCTGTGCTTCAGTTTTGAATTGAAGCATTTACTGTGCTTCAGTTTTGAATTGAAGCATTTTCTTTGCTTCAGTTTTGAATTGAAGCATTTTCTGTGCTTCAGTTTTGAATTGAAGCATTTTCTGTGCTTCAGTTTTGAATTGAAGCATTTTCTGTGCTTCAGTTTTGAATTGAAGCATTTCTTGTGCTTCAGTTTTGAATTGAAGCATTTTCGTGCTTCAGTTTAGAATTGAAGCATTTTCTGTGCTTCAGTTTTGAATTGAAGCATTTTCTGGCTTCAGTTTTGAATTGAAGCATTTTCTGTGCTTCAGTTTTGAATTGAAGCATTCTCTGTGCTTCAGTTTTGAATTGAAGCATTTTCTGTGCTTCAGTTTTAATTGAAGCATTTCTTGTGCTTCAGTTTTGAATTGAAGCATTTTCGTGCTTCAGTTTAGAATTGAAGCATTTTCTGTGCTTCAGTTTAGAATTGAAGCATTTTCTGTGCTTCAGTTTTGAATTGAAGAATTTTCTGTGATCCAAGATAATGTGGAATCATTACATATTTATTAATGAAAATAACTTCTTTTTATAATAGTCATAATTTTAACACAAAATATCTGTCGCTGTGCAATTTTGGAAATTGTTAACAAAAATATTCTTGAAACTATAAAAAATTTATTTTATTTTCTGTGCTTCAGTTTTGAGTTGAAGCATTTTCTGTGCTTCAGTTTTGAGTTGAAGCATTTTCTGTGCTTCAGTTTTGAGTTGAAGCATTTTCTGGCTTCAGTTTTGAATTGAAGCATTTTCTGTGCTTCAGTTTTGAATTGAAGCATTCTCTGTGCTTCAGTTTTGAATTGAAGCATTTTCTGTGCTTCAGTTTTAATTGAAGCATTTTCTGTGCTTCAGTTTTGAATTGAAGCATTTTCTATGCTTCAGTTTTAATTGAAGCATTTTCTGTGCTTCAGTTTTAATTGAAGCATTTTCTGTGCTTCAGTTTTGAATTGAAGCATTTACTGTGCTTCAGTTTTGAATTGAAGCATTTTCTGTGCTTCAGTTTTGAATTGAAGCATTTACTGTGCTTCAGTTTTGAATTGAAGCATTTTCTGTGCTTCAGTTTTGAATTGAATCATTTTCTGTGCTTCAGTTTTGAATTGAAGCATTTACTGTGCTTCAGTTTTAATTGAAGCATTTTCTGTGCTTCAGTTTTGAATTGAAGCATTTTCTATGCTTCAGTTTTAATTGAAGCATTTACTGTGCTTCAGTTTTGAATTGAAGCATTTTCTGTGCTTCAGTTTTAATTGAAGCATTTTCTGTGCTTCAGTTTTGAATTGAAGCATTTACTGTGCTTCAGTTTTGAATTGAAGCATTTTCTGTGCTTCAGTTTTGAATTGAAGCATTTTCTGTGCTTCAGTTTTGAATTGAAGCATTTACTGTGCTTCAGTTTTAATTGAAGCATTTTCTGTGCTTCAGTTTTGAATTGAAGCATTACTACTATCTGTCCCCTATTAAATTATCGATTGATTAATCGCTCATTTAATAGGGGAGGGGTCCCCCCGCAACCAAGCCCGCCGCCTGCAATCCAACCCAAAAGTCGAAGAATAGTTTCCGCGGGGGCGGACAAAAGATCACCATTGCAAAACGTCAATTGTCAAAATGTCGAATTTAAAAATGACAAATTTCAAATGGAAAAAAGTGAAAACGCCAAAAACAAAAAATGGACAATAAAAGAAAATAAAAGGCTAAATCGATATCTTCCTATGTTTGTTACTTGTTAGCGTCCGTTTTTTCTCTTTTTTTTTGCCAATCCATTTTTAAGCTTATGTTTTTGACCAAAATAAAAAAATAATGACTCATAAAATATTTTTACTTTTATTCTTCAATGTTTAAATTTTAGATAATTATTTTAAATTTTAATAATGAGCGGGGGCTATAATGTAGAGAAAAAGGATATTGAAGATATTGTAAAGAAATCTGCCTATTTTACCCGCGGGGGCTTAAATTCGCCTTATGTGGATCAGGAAGTGAAGATTGGTGTGGATGGTAATGGGGAAGGAGTGTTCAGGTTTAATTTTTATAATAATCGGGCAAACTTTAATGTTAAAAATTGTAGGACTGAAAGGAAATATGTGCATCCGCAAATTATTTTTGCGGAGATTGTGGCTTTTTTGTTTAATTTTGTGAGCTGCTTTGGGCATATGGATTTTGTGGCATTGTTTGACGCGGGGGCATGCTTGGACGTGGATGTTGAGGGACGCCGATCTCTTAGATCGTGGGATGAATGTTTGTTTGATTAATTTTAATAAATTTAATAATTTTAATAAATTTTAATAAATTTAATAAATAAAAAATTTTAGTGAAGAGAGTGGCAAGAAAATGTCTGCTGAAATGGCATACTGATAAAGCGGGGGCTGGGGGATTAGAGGCTTGTCAACTGGCACACAAGGCTTTTGGCTATCTTATTCAAGAAGGGCAAGCGGGGGCACAGGCTTATATAGAAGGTTTTATTATTATTATTGTTTTGTTTATTTTGGGGGGGGGGGGTATATATTTTCGAAAATATTGGGGTAAACCAAAATTTTTTAAAAAATCTTTCTTGAGTTGAAAATATTGGGGTATTAAAAAAGTTATTTTAGGAATATTAAAAAAGTTATTTTAGCAATGAACCAAGTTAATACTGATGGATATCGCCTCTGGGACTTGAGCGCGGACCCGGCAGCACATGAACAACATTTGAGTCTTGCTGAAGCGATCAGGCTTTATGGAAAGAGGGAACCGGTTGTAAAGGATCCAAGTGGGGGCCAATGTTTACATTGTGGGAGCGTGGGGCATCAGGTCTATTTTTTGTATTTTTAACGAAACAAAAT